ATTATCGGTTTGGGTTGGGTTGGATTTGACTTTTTTTTGGTTAATACCAAACCAAACCAAGAATAGTCGGGTTTTTTTCTACAACGTCAAACTAATCAAACCAAATCATAACTCGATTTTATTTCTCGGTTTGACTTGATGGTTTGACTTGTACACCCCTACTTAACATCATATATTCGTACTTAGCCTTCGATTAATTTAGATTTGCAGTCCATCAAACACACTAATTAATATTTCTATTATGGATTCTATTCGTCAATCAATTTTTCAGTTTAGAATATAAGATCACATTGATAGTAATTTTCATATGTAACAACTAATTAACAAACACATATCAATATATTTTTTCAAAGCAAGTGCCATGGTACAAATTTAAATGCATTAAAGAAAAGAGCAAGTTAGTTGGCCAGGAGTTACTATACTTGTCTTTCATCAACCAGAACAATTAATAAGAAAATTAAACAAACGACCAAAGAATATTAAAAATGATTAAAAACCGATAATACGTTGCTTTCTAATTTTAATACTTAAGGCTACCAAATCGAATTCCACTTAATGCATTCGTCCAAGAATTAGATGATCTGAACATATATATATATATATTGATAAATCTTTGTGAGGGCCAGAGGTTCATTAATCATTATTTATTTTTTTAAATTTAATTAGTATGATCAATTATTTTTTGGCCACTCACTTCACAACTACTCTTGGTTTTTCATTTTCATGAAAGGTACAAATAACAAATCAATGATATTAATGAGATTTTTTTTTAATTAATTCCAAAAAAAATGTAGGTGACATAATTAATTTTTGTACTCCAGTTTATTTAGTATAAGAAGTTTGTTACACCATCAATTGGTGCATTTTATTTAGGAGCTCGTAAATGATTAAATAATAAAAAGGGAGTAGCTAGAATGCTGAAGAGGAGGCAACTTTAATAAAACTAAAAACTTAATTATAGTATCAAATTGAGATATTTTCAGATACATAGAGTTTCATTTTTAAATGAAAACAACATAATCATATTTCTCTTTTTACTAATAGGAGTAATATTAGTGGCAAAAGTGAAGGGGAGTTAAGTTTGTTTTTATTTTCTTTGGTAATGAACCTTTTTCATGAATTTTAAAGTGTATACTGTATTTGAAAATTATTATATTTCATATTTTAGTAATCGTACGTTGTATAAAATTAATTGAATATGACACACACACATATTATATATCATGCATGTACCAAATTGATGCATACACTATTATGGGATGTGATGAGATAATTGAGATCTTTTCACTCTTAGTTATAGATTTCTGTAGGTTCGAACCCTGTATAAAAAAAGAACTTTCTGATAGAAAACGTTTATTTTTTTATCTGATTTATTAGATGCAAATTCTAATCAATCAAGCCAGCAAGTTAATTTGAAATACTAAATAATTAAAACAAAACAAAGATATATGCAGACAATCTTTTTTTCATCAAGTTGACCATCAATGAATGATACAAGACATTGGTTTCCTAAGTCATTTTCTTATCTCTTTTTGGTGCAAAAACTTTTATTTTGTGTTCTTGGCCTATTGTTTTTATTTTGTGGAGAGAAATGTAGAAGATATGATTCAAAATAAGAACTACTTGTCTCATTTGATAAAAGTTTGTGAAAATTATGAAAAAAAAATGTTTGTGAATCTTTTGTTTGCAGAATATTTGGGAGGGACCTAATATTGTAATACTAATTAGTAGGAATCTGCCGACACTCAAGGTGAGTCATGTGTTAACAATGTGCATTTTCTATATTTTAATTTTTTATAATAAGTATTAATTTTCCTATATTTTAATTATAATTAAATCATGGAGTATTATTTATTATGAGGCACCGACAGTTGGCATAGGGTCACCTTCAAGCCAAAAGGTACTACAGTACTTGTAAACTCTATTATGAGTTTCCTCATTTATTACTTTTCTCGTCAAAGCTTTATCACTTTTCAATTTCTTGATTTCAAATCAATGGTCCTTTCATTGATTCTATTAGTATAACCTTTAATATTATAAAAATGGTTGGCCACCTAAATAAGGCGAAATAATTTAAAAGATTTCTATATTTATTTTGATTTATCATTTGCATTTCTTTATTTTTCAAATTCACAATCAAATAATTTACTTAATTAAAAATAATTTTTTAATATTATCGACCAAACTAATGTGATATTTATAAAATTAAGTTAGAAAAAAAGCATAATATACACACGTATCAAGAGCGTGAATTTACAATCTTATAATTTTTTAAAAAGGTGAAACCAAAAAATTAAATAAAAGCTTACGTGACATTTATAAGATTGAGCTCGACAAAAGACGTAATATGCACACATTGCACACATATTAAGAGCGTGGATTGGATAATCTTATAATTTTTAAAAACATATAACCAAAAAAAAATAAAATCTTATGTGACATTTATAAAATTAAGTTAGAATAAGAGGCATAATTATCAAGAGTGTGGATTGACAATCTTATAATTTTTAAAAACATGAAAACAAAAACTTAAATTTAAAAATAAATACACAAAAAGATAAACAAATAAAAAAAAAAAAATCCGACCTACCGGATTCGAACCAGTGACCTAAGGATTATCTGAGGGAACTTTCCCACTACAGTCCTCCGCTCTACCAACTGAGCTAAGGTCGGATGATGTCAGGGAAGGCCACACATTAGGTAAAGGACAATCAAACTGCAAGTGTGGTTCACATGACATGCACCCTCCACTAATGAATGTCCACACGTTCCAAGACAAATTAAAAAAATGTAAGTGGTAATCAATAATCATTAAAGACTGGTATTGTAGTGGATTGAGATCAGCCTAAACAACAAAATGACTGAAGGCTAATAAAATACTCCTACTAGGAGTAGGATCACATTTGGTATAGCCTTTTTAAAACTTTGTAGATATCAAGGTAAGTTAGTTTCTTGGTAAATTCTATGTTGCCAATGATTATTCTTTGTTGCTTCAACTTGAGAGAGATTCCCTCTTTTTTCCTTAATTTAAAATTAAAAAAAAAAAAAGAAAAGGAAAGAGATAAATATCTAGGAACACATTTTAATGAAACATGTCCTCTCTTTAACAAATAAATCAATTATAACAAGGCAT